CAAGCGTAAGTTTTATACGAATTAAACATAGAAGAAGAAGAAGAAGAAAAAGAAAAAAAATGTAGATTAAAAAATACGAGACGTTTATATTTCCTGTTTGAAAAACAAACGAGAAACATGAACGAACGCTTGTACACACACACTTATATATATATATATAGAGGTGGTTAGGCAAAAAATAAAATTCTAATTTTCTCGACATTCTACTTCGTACTCTGAATCATATTTAACACGCCTCCTTGAACTCTACGGCTAATACAGTGGCGTGAAATTTGAAAGAATTGTGCCTAGCATTAAAGTCCCAGTAGAAATTAATTAACGCGTGTTCCAGGCTTATTATTATTATTATTATAATTATTATTATAATTATTATTATTACGATTATAATTATTCGTGTCAAAGTCCATGTGGTAAGATTCGCGAGGTAATTAATCAAACCGGAGGTCAGGAAGATCGAGTGAGTTATCTTCAGACAATATAAGTTCATTTTTCTTTCTTCATTTTCTTTCTTTCTTTCTTTCTTTCTTTCTTTTTCGAGAAGTAATGAGACACTTGACAGAACTACGACGACGACGACGACGACGACGTCTTACGCCAACGCTTTTAACAGTCTCCGTGCACTTGAACTTGCAATTATATCGTTATTACGGAATAATCGTCTAGCTTCCTCACTTTTTCATTTCCTATCTTTTCTATACCCCATGTACATACAATTAATAATATCACACAGAAATGATGTATCCATACATTATAAAAGACAATTTTGTAAGAAAAATTAGAAATAAAATAAATATAATAGGGGGTGTACGAGTTAGTTATGTATGCAACGTGCAACAATATCAAGACGATGGTTCATTGATTAACACCCGTTTTATTTAATCATCAAAGTCAAACAGCTTTAACCACGATTAACAGTTAGAGATGGGTTTTCCGATTAGAAAGAAAGAGAGAGAGAAAACTATTTGATAGTATAAGAGAGTTATTAAGGTAGTTTTTAAATTCTGTTGAAAGTGTTGAAGTCGTCTTTGTAGGAGTTTCTGAGTGGGATGAAACTGCTGGAGGATGTCATTGACCTGATGAAAAGGTCAGAAAGTACTACTAGATGGATAGATGCATACACCAGTTTTTAATGCAACACGTAAGGAAAGAAAAACGTGCGACTCTTCTCTCTCTCTCTCACCTCTTTTTGTTTCATTTTTCGCAACGCGTGACTTATCGAGCCCAAGTATCGGCTCGAACGTGTCTTCTTTCCAACCCCCCTTTTTATTTCATTTTTTCTTCTTAACAAAGCTCTTCTATAAGCTCGTACAAGTCCTCCTCTCCTAGACATTTTGATTTTTACGTTACAATGAGACGAGAGGAAAAAGGAATGGAAAATTTGTTAAAAAGAAGAGTTAATATTTTGTTAAAATTAAATTAAAAAAGAAAAATAAAATAAAAATAAACAAACTAGGCTAACGATCAGTACGAAGGATAATTCGAGATAGAAATTAGTCACATGTATTTGTATGGAGGTTTCATATCAATGAGTCATCGTCTCAGTCGAGGTTGAATCGTCAGAAAATTTTCTGGATTGCACACACACACACACACACCGTGCATCCCAACTTTCGTTTCTCTTATCATTCTTTCTCTTTCATCAGAATTCACGCAGCTGTTTCTTTTTTTGTTACGTCAATGATGAAATGTAGAATACGATTGATGAGTTGCTGTTAATTTGGTCAACAAAGCAAAACAAAAACAAAAACCAAAAAAAAATGAATTAAAATAAAATTAAGTAATAATAAAAGAGAATTAAATAAGAAATAAAACGAAGTATTTCGTAAGCATTTTAAAAAATGACGAAACAATAACAATGACTCACATAAGTTTCTCATTTCATTTCATTAGTTGAGAAGTTTATCTCTGTAGCTCGTAAGGAGAAGGAGGGAAGGGTAGATAATAAATTAAACGAAGTAGTAGCAAGAGAGAAGTGCCGTAATTGATACCGTTCGTCTGATTAGAAAATAAGAGAACGCATTGGTCAATTTGCCGTGCTCAAAGAGAGAGAAAAAGAAAAAGAAAGACAGAGGGAGAGAGGGAGCATTGTTTCTTCAAGTCCTTCGGAAATTAACGAGTTCCTTATTGAGCAGAACTAACTTAGTTTATACTCGCTTTTACATGTCAGAGATTATTAGGGATTACGTTGAAATTGTTTGAAATTTAATAAATCATGTATAAATTAATATTTGTAACATTACAAAATACATCAAATGTACAATGAAGGTGTAATTAAAGTAACAATACTAATAGTTATTACATATATAAAATAATAAAGATATTATTTGATTAGTTTTGTTGTTTAGGGTGATGACACGCTTTCTCTTTCATTTAGATTTTTCTTTATTCTTTCCTTTTTTTTTTTCGGGGATCCAATTAGTGTTCCAGGATTAATTAAGTGGTGTAATTGTAACCGAAGTTTCGTCGAAGCGTGTGAGTAAGGCGTGAACGAGAAGAGAATGACTCATACGAGAGTACACTGGTGTGTTCAAAGAAAGAGAAAGAGAAAGAGAGAGAGAAAAAAATCGTATTTAGGAAGATCGAAGGAGAGAGAGACCATTTTGGATAGGACTCTCGTCGTCGTTGTCGTTGTCGTCGTGCACGACGAGCCCTTGAGAGTTGACGAAGGGCTAAGGGTAAAAGGGCGAAACACTAAGTTAGATAAGAGAAAATTGAGTGTGTATATCGTTCAAGTAAGAACGTTTCTCGTCCAATTAAAAACTCGATAGAATATATTATATGTCCAATTATAAAATGAAAAATCAACAATTTTGACAGTGTCACGTTGTTTGTCCGCAATGGACTTTTGAATTACTGAACCAATTTTAATCAAATTTTGCACACTGTATGCAGTTTTATCCAACCTGAAAGATAGGATAGTTTATATCATTCTAACAGATGGCGGTATAAGGTAATTCGTTGACTTAAAGAGACGTGTATATCGGACTGATTGTGAGCCACAGCAACGCGTAGCGGGACACCCCTAGTTTTTTATATTATTGTTATTATCTTATGTAAAATTGTTTCCTCATTTTTATATTATATTTTTGTCTTTCTTGTTCTCCCGATAAAATCACGAAGAAACGGATCTGACAAAAGGAATCTTTGGACAATAGCGTCCTCGTTAAACGTACACTTAGTAAATACCTGCAGCAAGTAAGAGAGAGAGACAGAGAGAGAAAGAGAAAGATACGCCTACACAGTAATCTGGACTTTTAACTTTTTCCATTTCTTTGCCACTAGAAAATGCCAGCCGGCGTCGCGTTGAAAGACTCGAGAAAAAAGAGAAATGGAATGAGTATAGTCTAGGGAGAGAAAAACAGAAAGAGACTATGGTTGATAGTGACAGTAAAAAAAAAATAGAAAAAAAAATAGTAGAAGAAGAAAAAGGAAACGGAAAGAGAGTGGTGGAACACACACAYACATCTACACCTAGTCTTCTTACTGTATTGCTTTTTCTTTTGTCTCTTTTCCCAGCGAATAATCACGAATGCCACGGAAAAGCTTCAGCAATTGCTTCCTCCTCCCCCCATTCCCACCCTGTCGTACAACCAACCCCTATCCCAATCCTCGTTTCCATTTCATACTCCTATCTTTATCTCATTCTCTCTTTCACTCATTATTACTCTTCGTGATAAAAAAAAAAAAAAAGGTATAACAAAAAGGAATTCATACCTTTTAAGCGTTTCCTTCGGCTTAGTTTTATTTTAACCTTTCGTCTAATTAAGATCTTCCCTCTCTCTCTCTCTCTCTCTCTCTCTCTTTCTTTTATAATTGAGTGTATTTCCTTTTATAATGTTGGAGACAAAACACTAGTCATTGAAACTCGTGCTATGCGGAACTACGAAGTACACACGGTCAAAAGTACTCATTTGATTTTTCAAAATCAATTAATTTATTCTCCTGACAATTGAATTTACAACTCTGTACTCGTCATTTTATTATCTTTAAAAAATAATGCAGTATTTTTTTTTGGTGCTTTTTTTTTTATAGATAAAAATTGAAAATGAAATATTTGCATGATAAAAAGAAAAATATCTTTGTAAAAAAAATGAGATGGCAAAAAGAGAGAAAATATTTGATTAGGTATCTTTTATTCTTTTTTTACATTTTTTTTTTTTTGTGTTTGTTCGTAACGTCTTTGACACTGATCAAAGACTCTTTTACTTTTGAACGATATGCACGCCAGCCAACAACTATTTTCCACTAGCACTACCCACCACCACCACCACCTCCCTTTTATCACCGTCGTCGTGTATAAATATATTCAGGGTGGTGCTCGTTCCAGCTCAGACATTTCTTAAATAAACCCGAGCTCAAGACGAATAGAAATAAGGTCTTCTTCTTCTTCTTCTTCTTTCTTTTTTTTTAGTTCGTCAAACTTAAAGGGAGAAAAGATTCACTTCCGGAATTTTTCAGGATTTCCTTCGGTCCCTTTTTTTTATTTTTTCGGACGGATTTTTCTTTGAAAAAAAAAAAAAAAAAAGAAAAAATCCTTCTCATACAGACTTGTCGAACCTATTTTTTTTTCTATTTGAAGAAACCAAACGAAAGTATTTTTTGGTGGTTTTGTTTTATTTTCTTTTCTTTTCTTGTCTTTTTTTTTTTTGTTGGAAATAAGATCTTCGAGGTTCTGGTTTTTGAAGAGAGTCGAAAGACGATGGTTGTTGCTGCCATCGCGTTCGTTCGTTCGTTCGTTCGTTCGTTCACTCTTTATAAATAGAAACTTAAAATTGTCAGTGGTGTCAGGGCTCATTCTTGATCTATGTGAATAGATCCTCTAATTCACGATCCTTTCGTTCCTGTTCGTATTTCCTGTTGTTACTAAATATAAACACTCCTTGTAGTTACCTTGTAATAATAATTATTAAAAATAGGATTACAAGATAAAACCCTTTACACTTGATTATATAACAGTTGATTTACCTTGTAACTGATTCTGATGACTTTTTTTGTTTCAGATCAAAGAAGATATCGATCATGCATCAGGATTAACATTCTTTGACCTATCTTCAAGGTAAGCTGATTGACATCGATGTATTCGAATGTGTTCGAATCTTTCCAACTTTTTTTATCCATCCAATTATTAGACAAAAATGTCTTCCGCAATGTTGCACTTAGATCAAGTAAATTAGTCGAATAATTTCTCATTAAGTCTTGGTAATAATTTAACGAGATAATTTGTGCATTAGCAATTCTGGAATTTGTCCTTAACGATGCTAAATCATTCTATTTACGTTGATATGGTCTATCCAATCTCATCAACCAACACAGCATTAAAAGCCAAGATGGATAGAACGTTACGTTTTAATCGAAAGACCCTAGGCATTAATTCTGGGTGGGCAAGTAATCGTGAAAGCCACGACAAGGTCATCAATGCAATGAGATCCTATCGATGTAGTTAGCCTCAGCCTCGATCAAACTAGTCGATCTAGTTTTTACTTACATTTTTTCTTTTTCTTTTTCTTTTTCTTTTTTTGGTCCTATTTCTTTACCTGATATTCAAATAATTTATTCAGAAAGTTGTTAGCTTCAATTATTATCGTTCGATCTTCAAAGTAAGAATAAAAACAGAGATAAAGTAAAGGGGAATGTCTTGTGAGACATTTAAACAACGTACATTGCATTGTTAGACCAGTGTCATCTTGCGAACGAAGACAGTCACATTTCAAGGTCGCATAATTTTGCCCGTTCTGGAAAGGAATGCAATAACGGGTTCCCCTGACTCATCCCAGAATTCTCTCCTACACAGTTGAATCATCCAACACTTGCCAACCGTGTTGTTAACTCAATCTAACGTGTAAATACTTACTTAAGGAATTCATCGAGTTAATTAAACTACGACACTTTCTATATGCATTTTCAGTTGATTTTGAGCAAACCAATAATCAGCTTTTCTGTTATTCCTGGAACGTGTATTTAAACATCAAATCAATAAACAAATTAACTGTAGAAACAAAAATTGCAAGTAGTGAAATGCAATAGCATTATGTGTTATCAATCAGAGTTAGACAATTCTGTTCGGCGTGGTATATAAGAAGAGAGTACATAAATCCCCTCCTACGATCCGAGGAGAGTAACCACATATATAGAGTAGCGTAGTCAGCTGTGCGAAGGTCAGGGTCGCTTTGAAGCAATACTATCCGAGGGGTTGCAATCGATGCACGATGCTGCTGCTGCTGCTGCTGCTGCTGCTGCACCCTTCTCAACTACAGTTACCATAGTAACCACCATCTCTCCTGACCTATTGCTGAAGCCAGAATACGAAAGGGAGGGGCATACTCTCTCTCTCTCTCTCACCCCCTCTTTCAATAATTTTTTTATTCAGAAAATTTATATTAAAAAATTTCAATAAAATATTACGTAAAGGTTCCCACCCAAGCTGCTGCTAACAAAATATTACAATTTATTTCAATATAAATTATTGAAAATTGTAATATTAATTATTGATCAAATGGATCGTCGATTTATTTACTTATGTAATATATATATACAGTAATCTATGTATACATATGTACTCTCCCCCTCTTTCTCTCTCACTTATTCCCCATTTCTTTCTCACTCATTGATACCTCCTCTATCTTTCTCCTACTCCGTCATATCCCGTTTCTCTCTTGCTCTTGCATTTACAGTATCTGTATATACCTACATACATACATATATATATATATCTACATTGGAGATAGTAAGAGAGAGGGAGGGAATACGTTCAGCTGCTTCCGCAACGATCAGCACGTTCCTGTCTTCTCATCGTCGACGAGTCTTTCTCTTTTATCTCGAGTTCATCGTGCATCTTTACATACACACACACAAAAATAAGAAAAAAGGGAGAGAGAGAGAGAGAGAGAAAGTTATTAACATCTTAGAAAAAAATGATGTGACGTTTGTGTTTCGTGTCAGTGCATTTGTGCTAGTGCATTAATTACTTCAAAGTGTTATTAACATTACGATGACATTTTTCTACACCTTTTTTCATACGCTCCTTCCGTAACCAATGAATTACTTCCTCCAATTAAACGAGCGACCTTGAATCTTGACACTACCGCATCAACGAGAGCAAAGTTTTTATTGAATAAACTTCAACGGGGTCCTTTATATATATACATATATATAATAACTTCATTCAATTTGTATTAATTGCAACTAACCCTCAAAAATGTTCACTGTATTATTTTGTTGCGAATTAAAATTCATTGAAAAATTCAACTGCATCGGATAAGAGTGCGGGAGGAGGGGTGGATGTAAGGGTCGGTCAAGGTCGAGTGGTTGGTCCAGATCGATAACACCGGAAGTAACGACGTTTTTCTTCATCCGTGAAATGTTTTACGCAGTTTGAATTGAAATCATCGAGTACCTACACTTCGAACGATCTATTACAGATTAATATAAATAAATGATTGAATAAATAATCGATTGAAATAAATTTGAATTATTATTAMAAATCGATCAAAGATGGATGGATGGAAGAGTTGGAAAGCACGGGACAATTCGTTCATAACGAATTGGTATCAACGTGTACGAGAATCTTACGTAGCCGTTTGGTTCTTCGGAATGTTTCAGAGTGGCAGAATGTCAACTGCAAGTAATAGTGGGGCAGGGGGAGGTGGAAGTAATAGTGGAGGAGGAGGAGGTGGAGGAGGAAGTAGTGGTGGAAGTGTTAGTGGCGCTTTAAGTTTAATGGGTTGCGTCAGAGAGGCTTCTCCTCCTCCTCAAAATCATCATCATTATCATCACTATCATCATCATCAGCAACAACAACAGCAACAACAACAGCAACAACAACAAGGCCGTGGACTTGGCATTGGGGATTTTTCTTCGAACAGTAGTGTCGACCCTTTACCCAAAGGTTTGTTCGTATTTTATTGTTTGTTGTACAGTGTCTGATTGTAAAAATGTATAGATTTGATCATCAAGTCGATTGTTTGAGAATTACATTCGACTATTATTCGACTATTCTTATCCACGAATTTGGCCATGACCCACTTTCACGATTTCTCTATCCTTTTCTCTTTCTCTTTTTCTTCTCTCACTCTCCTTCGGTTCAAAGAGAATTTCAATCCGAGTTAACGCCATGGGATATAATTTTCTGCTAAAACGCGTCCACGCGTTCGGCTAATTTCTCTCAGCACTGACTGACTGACAGTACATAAACACACATGTACACGTGTTTTAAATGTAAGATGTATAGAACTTGAGTACTCCTCCAGGGCTTGAAATTGAAGTTTTATCATTTAAAACGAACAAGAAAAAAAAGGATTGTAAGAACTCAAGAAGAAATAAGTTTTAGTTTCTAGCATTATTCGCAAAAGTCAGCCTCTGCCATTAAAGCAGCAATGCTCGAGTGATTTTGTCATTGGTCAACCGTGAAAAACAATGTCATGCCTGAATCGTTTCAGATCTATATACCTGAGTTTCTTCCTATTTTATCATTTCTATCATACGATTATATTATAGCCAAGTCCATTGACCCTTTCCTTAGAAAAGCAAAATCTTCTAAAACATAGACCAGACCTATGATAAAATGAACGAGTTCTCGGGAGGGAAGGTTTCATTAATTGAATAAATGCATACACGTGGTGAATACGATATTCAACACGCATACGGATACATAAAGGGTATTAAAAGATTTTTCGCATAAGCGATAGATAAATATCGAACCGATAGGGTTATCAAACGTTTTCTAATCTTATCGATGCCGTACCCAATGTTATGAGACGGTTTTATAATAAGGTTTAAGTCACAGTCAGAGGTGCAAGTAGTTTTATCCTTTATACACAGTTTAACAATTAACATTAACCATGGAAAATAAGATGCACAGTTTCATTGAGTTTCATGAATTTATTGGTAAGATTTCTTTTGATTATTTTATATATATATATATATATGTTCAATTGCATCCATGGCTTGTTGTGTAGAATTTTTTTTCCATGAAATATTTCGACAAATGTTAAATAATATTCAATTTTCGTCTATGCATTTATTGATCCATTAAAAAATAAATAACTTTAATAATTAAACACAAAAAAATAATATTTATTAATAGTTGTGAGAAAAACGTCATCGATAAGAGTAGATTAGAAATCGTTAGATAAAAATCAAGTAAACGTCAAAAGGATAAGATCATTGTCACGTTTGTCAATTTTTGCAGAACCAAAAAAACGTCGTTTTCATCCATTGAGAGGCTTAAGAAAAATATTCCGAAGAAAAAGTCGAGGTGCTGCAGACGTGCGATTAGTTTCATCACCTGGAACCGGTGGAAATGTTGAACGAGATGGTTCAGAATTGGTGCGAATTCCAAGAGAAGAGGTCACTCTAAGACATCCTGCTGGGAGAGCAGAAGAAGCAAGAAGCAGGAGTGCCAGCGAATTACTTACAGATTCTTGTGATCGTGAAAGGTAAACGACCACCAAACCCAAACCCAAATTAATTAATATAAGATTTTCTATGTAATCCTGATGGACAATTGTCTTTTTTTTTTTTTTTTGGTTTTTTATTTGTGTATCCTGTATAAAAAACAAAAATGATAAATAACGATAGGAGTTGGGAATCTGTTGCATTTCCAGTAAACGAAGTTCAATCACTTCCATCGGATTATCATCTCGAAGCTATAAATTGGTAACACCAGCGAAGCCTAGAAGGTCCTTCAAGCAGTAAATATCTCGAACGATTCTTTCCTTTTTTTTATATATTTTTTTTTTTGTTTATATTATTGTCCAGTGTGTAAACTTTGTCCACGTGTTCTGAAACGTGTAGAATACTCCGATCTTCCAGACGTTTACGTCCTTGATACTGACAATGAACGTAACCATTCAAATGGAAGACTTCAAATATGATCGGAGTTCCTGTATTTGTGCAGTCGTCTATTTGAATTTTGTTGGATCTTATACTACAGTATGCAGTAGTATCGATTGATTATGGTATTCAATTTCTGGGCTCTAATGTTACACCGGAGACCCTTGACCTCGATTGTAATAGTTACATTCTCTTTTACCAACTGGATTACTATAACTGGTTATAGGATATTGATGACTTGTGTCGTTGGTTGGTTGCTATAAATGTTCTTCTACCTTATCGCTATCTACCATACTTGCTAGATTAGATCACCTAATGTTTTTCTAATATCTGCAGTAGTACGAAATAACACACACACACACACACACATCTGTAAAATCATGATAATACTGTTATTTGAAAAAATGATTAACCAAGTATTATTTATTTATTATTTCAGTGTATTCCTGAGGAGAAATGGAACGGAGGATTTGTTCGTAAAACTACGAGGTGGTACCGGAAAATTGTCAGTCTCTCACGACAGTGTATTCCCTGGGGAAGTTCCTCATACTCGTCCTCTATCTTCATTGGACAGTCTGCCAGCTCTCGAGGTCAGTTCTTTTCCTATTTTTCTTCATTCCCGTTGCATTTAGAATCTAAATTCGACTCCCCAGAGATTCCGTTTGAGAATAAAACAACCCTGTCTCTTTTCTTTACTTTTCTTTCCAATATTAAATATTGAATATTACGACATGTGTAAGAGTGAGAAACTTAGACACTTTGAAATCCAATGCATGTCCGATTGCACATCGATCTTTTAAACAGAGAGTTTCCAAAGTTTTCAAATATTTTGACGATAAATGTAGAAAGTTCTAACGAAATGAATTTAATTGTACGAAATTCAGTGAGATGTTGTTTAGAATAAATTTAGAAAGTTTTGATGAAATTGGTTCGATTGTATAACTAATCTCTAAACTTTTGAGAGAGACACGTTTTTAGAATAAATTTAGTAGAAAGTCTAAAACGTGAGATTTGTGAATACAATGTTTAAAAAAGATTGTTTTTAAAAAGAAAGAATTACTTGAAGAAGAGAATATGAAGAGAATGATTATTACTATTATTATTATTATTGTATAACTCGATTTATAAAGACAGAGAAGTTATTCTAAGCACGTGTGAATTGTATTAAGACGGTTACACATGTCTTAGGATCGACTCGTGACTCGTCTTCTAATGTTCCATTCACACAATTACACGATGATGCTGTTTTACGTTCTAATCATTTCTACGTACTTTTTTTTTTTTTTTAACAGCTGTCACAATGAATTTAACACTTAGCCGACCGAATGCCCTAGAGACAGAGACCTTTACAGTTTCCACCGCGCTCGGAAAAGTCAAACTGCGCTCTCTCTATCTATCTGCGTTCCTTCATTCTATTTTTGGTCTTTTATTCCAATCATTTGATTTGTATATTAAAGTAACGTTTAGGATTGCAAGTTTAGAAATTGAATTGGCCCAAGTAATAGGAAGTTTTGGTCAAGCTTTATATTTACTAATAATCATGAGTCGTCGTTCCGTTCTGATAGTTGAGGAAAGTCACGAAACGAAGAGAGTGTTTCAATGTTTCCCCTCTTTATTCATTCCATTCACTCGTCGTCGTCGTCGTCGTCGTTGTCGTCGTCGTCATTCTCTTTGTTTTACTCTATCTCTCTTTTTTTCTTTCTCTCTTTCCATATCGAACACAACACAACACGCAGAGACGACAAGAGAGGAAAAGCAACGAGATCGAACACAAAGACTATGCTCCCTACGTAGTCCAAAGGCACAGGATATCCTTGCGGGTGAGTTGTTCTTTCTTTTTTTTTTATTCACATGTTTGACCACAATTTATATATACCAAATTTATTTAATCGATCAAATAGTTTCGTTTGAAATCATTGAAAAAAAAAAAAAAAATAATATTTTTCAACAGGTACTCGAGCAAATAAAAACCGTCATAGAGAATCGGAACCAGCAACAAGCATCGACGATTTCCTCCGACAATTCAAACAACACGTTGTTACAACAGGTAGAGTAGTATAATTATTATTAACTTTTACACGTGCGTTGAATATTCACTGTTTTTTCTTTTTGGTTTCCATGTTTTTTTTTTTTTCTAAATCCTTATTTTTATACGCAAGAAACTTTCGCTTGGTAAAACCGCTTATATGTTGTTCCGCGTGGACGTCGTGTCATAACTCATCCATAGAGTTGTGTTCGTTTGGGATCTAATGATAGGCAGTATTATTATCATATATATATATTTATACACACATATATGTACCAGGTTGATATGTAAGAGAGCGTTAAAAGCGAAATGTAGAACTTTCACCAACTATAACCGAGTAGTTTAATGGTCGAGTATTAATCTTTATAATTTCTCCCTTGGGCTACTCTTCATATCTTTTTTTTTTTTATTATTATACTTATTATTTATTGTAATACCGTTTTTATTTATTTTTTGTCTTTTTCTTTTTCATTTCTTTTACAGTGTAGATTTTATATTTAATTGAATTGAATTAATTTTGCGGTAGCCATGATTATTTATTCGGGGGTGTATTAATCAGTTAAGTGTGGCGATCGGTGCGCATAATTTAGTTTTCGCTAACCAAAATTACAATTGAAAACATCAAATTGTAACAAACTTTTACGCATGACGGATATAGACGTCAAACACGCTTAACTGGTTAAAAGAATCGTAGAAGACACTTATTTTAGTTTCCTCGTTGAACGTTAATCTCTGTGTGACATCAGAATCTGTTTTTTTACGTTTCAGACTGCGGGAGAACGTTATCAGCAGGAAACCACCGAGGTGAGATAGTGCGAATATAACACACACACACACATATACACATTTTCATCATTTGTAGAGAATTATTGTTTGTCTCCTTTTATAATAAATGTCAGTCCAGTAATAATTTGAATCGTCGAGAAGTAAGATCGCTATTCTACGAACAACAACATTTCCTTTTTGATTTTTATTTGAATCTTTGTCATTTCGTTTCATTGTTGTTCGTTCTTGTTGTGATTATTTGAATTTCAATTGGAATGTGAAAAAAAGATTAATAGATATGAGTAATAGAAAAATTATTATCAATTGTTGGAGAAGAATTGTTAAACGAGTTCTACATTTGTCTAACTTAGCGACTAATCATTCGTGGAAATTAAAAGTGAGTTTACACAACATTTTCATAGGAGAGAATTCAGATGTATTAATTTTATTTTCTTTTTTTTTTTTTTTTTTTTTTCTACAGAATCGTTTTGGAAACTATGACAGTCCGGACAAAGGTAACACCGATGAGAGCCACATCAAAGTAAGTTTTAATCAAAACAATCAAATAAATCACAGAATAATCATCATCGTCGTAAGATGATTTCTTATAACATTTTAATGGATAGGAGGATCGAGTAGGAAAGTTAAAATAACAAAAAACAGATCACACGTGTTAGAAGTGAAACCTTCGAAAAACTAAGTTTTCAGAGAATGAGACGAATGCAGAATATCAGGTGTAGGATAATTATAGGATTGTTACTTTGTAAAAATATTATTATTATATTGTTAACACTTTCAGAGTAATTCACTTTTGGAGTAACTTTACTAAAAGTAGCGAGGTTTTTTCCGAAAAGTACGAAGCATAGCATAAAGAGGAGACCGAGAATAGGAAAAACTGTATAGCTACATTCCGTCTAATTCTCTCGCAGGCTCAATCCTATATGTTTGTCTTTTTTCTCTCATTATTTAGTATAGTAGCCGTTTCATAGCATCGTTACATAGGTCCGTTTCCGTTTATTTACTTTTCAGATCACTCCCATTCTAAAGAAGTTTTCACTTCAAAAAAAAAATGTTACAACATAGCTAACACAAAGAAAGAAAATGAAACAAACGGTGATTCGACTGCCGTTTGAAACGTTTTGCGTCCCTTTTAAGTAGGTGGTGTGGTACACGTTTCATTGTTCTGCTTCTCTCACGTTGGCGCAAGCAACTTTGCGTGGCTTGGTCATTATTGTTTCCGGCTCTTCTTTTTCTTTTTACTCTCGCGTTATCCTGATGTATTTCTTTTTTCTTAGTAAATATTCTACCATTGAAAAATAATTCGAATGGATTTTTAATAGAAATATTTTCAATAGATACGCACGTGTTTGTTGTAACCACCCGCCGTAGTATGTGGGTCATCTTTAAGCCCATATATATCAGTCTTCTTGTTTTTCTTTTTCTTTTACCTGTGTGTTTTGCAACGCCAGCAACGAAGAACGTTCATAACGTTAGCTTGGAAAAAAAAAATCTGACTGAGTCACATGTATATGGAATTGAAAAGCATCACGGTTCGTTGATTTTTCAAATTTAAGCTCATTAACGAGAGTCAAAATGAGAACAGAGCAAAAGGCAAAGTCAGTCTTTCGAGAGTGAACGCGGAAACGAATAGGTAGAGTATATAGTATGTTCGTGATATTTATTTTACCGTTACTTGGCCCCCGCTCACTCGTTAACAAACTTCATTTCAACATCATTTTCCTCAAATTTTACTGCAATACGTTCTTTTTACAAAAATTATCTTTTTTTTTTTCCATTTACATTTATTTATTTCAAATTATATATATATATATACAATCTTTGCAAAATTATATTTAACAAAATGAAAACAAGTCAATTGTTACAATAATTATTTATAATTTATAATTATGCACATATGTTTTTTTTATATTATATATATATTCATATTTGATTGCATTATTCTGTAAAAAATAGTTAGTCAATGATTTTTTGTTATATTTTACTACGGAAAAGTTAGTCAATGATTTTCTCGATCGATAAAACATTTTACAGAAAAGTTAATCAATGATACTCTGTCGGTAAGACGTTCTACGGAGAAGTTAATCAATGTTTTTCTTGTCGATAAAATAGATTCCTGTATCTAACTTACCAACCGTTGTCGGTAACTTATCGATTAGTAACTTTACAAAATTGTAAAATAAAATATCTTTCTTCTTGCAATATTTTATCAAATTTATTGAATAAATAAATTATTAATGAAAATTATTATAGAAAGAAAAAAGCAACTTGGTTAACAGCTCAAAGAGAATTAGCAATTAAATAATTTAATTATAAATTCAATTAATAATTAATTACATACACCGAGAATTGCAATGATATTTTTATTTATTTTTATACTTTTTTAAGTATATATTTATTATTATTATTATTATTATTATTATTATTATTATTATAGTAGTATACTTTCGTTGAGTATTATTACGTAAAAGGATTTACTATGTTACGATCGACTTTTCTCAATCCTTTCGAAACGAGAAACCGACTTGTGCAATGATAAAACGGAACTATTATATATTTTTTTATTTACTTTTTTTCTTTATTATCCTCTTCTTAATGGACAATCGTTGAGGCAGGTCATTAGTGTCTTACAAAAAGATTAAGAATAATCAAAATGTGTTTCACATATATATTACGTTACGCATCAAATATGTTTTATTTCGAAAAGAAAAAAAAAAGAAACCTTGTGTCATCAAATTATAAAAGCTATTACCCCATACACTTTTACCCCATACTCATTTTATTTATTATATATAATGTTTAACATTTTACACTAGATACTATTAATTTTGTAATACGTATTGATTCAATTGATATGTTAAATAAGTCGTAATAATTGATTAGCTGTTAGACAAGTTGTTGTTTTTTTTTTTTGTTTTTTTTTGTTGGTTGTCTTTCTACAAATCTTTTATGAGATTAATAATATCTATCGATATTATTATATACTTTGACATTTACATTGGAGTCTAACGGCAGACGGTAGAAGAAGTTGGTAAGCCGGTTTGGTATTTACGTGGCATTTGTTGCAGTCTTGCTTTCGTCATGGCGTGCATTGCAAGGCCAAAGAATCCATATGAATCTTTTTGATCGAGATTTATCTACTTAATTCGGAACATCTGACATGTCGACAGACATGTATATATATATATTTTATATAATTATTCGTTATATAATTAACAAATGCATCGAGGACAGTCTAATGCAAATGTTCAAATGAATTTTACGTGTGTTATTTGCATGGTTACACATAAGAAATCTATGATAATAAAAACGTTTGTTAGAATTGAGGAAGCGACAAGGGAAAATTTAAATACGAATATACTAATTACACCATAAAAGAAAGAGATGCATAAATGACTCTAATAAAAAAAAAAAAAAAAAAATCAAGGAAGTGCTTACATAAATCTGACATTTCCTAGAATTACATAAATTAATTGTATTCTGTTACTTTTCGTTCTATTTTTAAATGATCAGAGACCACCTAACTTCATGACATAGAAAATAACGTTGTTCTGCTGACATTCGCGAGTGAGTTTCACTTCGTGGAGAGTGAGCTAAGTTCAATTACAGAATAATCTTAGATGACATAACAAAGTCGATGAGAAGAACGCGTGGGTCTTCCTGAAGACGACCAATCCCTCCTCGCGACAAGGAAAAACCATAATCGTTGGTAGAGTTGTTGTTGTTGTTGTTGTTATTACTACTTGTTGTTTCGTCAAATAGTCACAATGTTGTCATCCATTTATACTATTTCTATCTTAGGAGAGAAATAAAAAAAACACCGAGACAGACGTGATTGTTAAGAAATCTTGATTATTCTGAAAAAGAGAGAGAGAAAGGAGAGAACTTGTAGGTGAACGACATGATTGAGAAATCCAGTTCGAGGAAATACACTTAGAAAATGTATCTTGCAAGGATACATTTGTAATAAGTTAGATAATTGACATCTTTTTTTTTTCTTCTTTCTCTCCATCGATTTAATTGAAAAGAGAAATTTTTGATATTTTTTTCATACAAATAAATAATAGAATAACGTTATTTAGATTGTTATCATCAATCATATATTAAAAAGGCGATAAGAATCTGGATAGATTTTCTCTTTTAATTGCAAGCAACGGACGGGTATAATTTCTTTCTCACTTTTTGCCATATTGCTGATAAAAAAATAACAAAAAAAATAAACAAAATGAACAATAAATATTTGATCATATAGTTTAGAAATAGTACTTAACATTTTACGTAGAATTTGATTTTTCGAGAAATTTGTTAAGAAACGCAACAAATGACAATAACAAGTGGAAAGTATAGAGAAAATCTTGTCAGATATTTACGATTTACGATCTACGATCTAGGAGAGACAAGATAACGGTGTTGCTACTCATCTCGTTCTGCAGCTGGCAGCTGTTACTATAGCATACTCTTAGCAAACTATGAAACCTTTCGTTTGCTCTTCCTCTTTCCATTCCTCTTACATTAGAAACTCACGAAACTCGCGTTTAAATCCTTTTTCAACGTTCGATCTTGAGAAAACATGTGATTTAGAAAATTTCTCTTTTAAAGTGTTCAACTCTGATCGACACGCCTGATTTGTAAATTAGATTGTTTCCCCCCTCCCCCTCCCCCAGTATTATTATATCCAACGGTATTTGTGCAAAAAGTCTTTTTTTATTACAAATTTCTTTCGGAAATATCAAATCCCATAATCCTAGTAGCAGCTGCAACTCTACCACCTCTCTCTCTCTCTCTCTTTCTCTCTCTCTGAAACGGCAATGTTCTAGTCCCTACCCACACTCCCAAAACTCTCAACCAAGCTGGCAACTTGAAAGGAATCACAGCACAGTTGAACGATGCGTTTTCCACGTGCGACACGCGTTTCTATCTAGAAATTGACCATTTCTATATCTATTTATTACACAAACACCCAAGGAAGGAAGGAAGGCACACACGCATATGCTCAAATTGCATTCGACTCCCCTTTCGAACGCGAGTGAAGGGCTTCTTTCGTGTCTCCCCCTTCGTCACACGCGAACACATATACACACACATATACACACACATATATTTATTTGTTCATAAGTTTGATAGTCTCTCTGTAACGTGTTTGTGTTGTTCTGTGTATTTGTAAAGCCCATCGATCGTCGAGCGAACGAGAGAACGAAGTCGCTCAGTTGTAACGAACCTGTCGTTCGTACCACTGACATCAACTCATTTCCTTCAACAATATTGGGTTTGGGTTTTTTTATTTTTTATTTTTTTTTCATTCTCTTTTTACTTTCCATTCATTTCCTTTTGATTTATTTCAATCCTTCAATTCGTGCGAATGAATTATTATTGTATTTCTCTTTTGAGTGAGATCATAGGAAAAGTGTTTAGAGAAGGCTTTTAATAAAGAGTGTTAAACCTCGTTGAGTGTGTTTCAAAGATAACACGTTAATAATAATAATAATAATAATAATAATAATAATTGCACTCTTCGTTGTAACAAGAGTGTAAATATTAATCACACTTTGAGCATTATTTTTATTCTCATTTGGATTTCATCGCGAGTGTTATTCCAATTGTTGTATTCTGTATTGTGATTTTTATCATTTACGTGGGTGGAAGTCGTAAGTAATTGATTAAACAATAGGAAAAAGGATCCTCCCATGATACCACATTTACAAATGAAATACTTTATCCCTTGTTTAGGATATTAATCGATTAGGTTTACTTTGACGTAATATTTGGTTATTTGTGTTCCTTAATAGTCGAAGTTAATCAAATGTTCTCGTTTAATGTGTTTATCTGATAAAAGTTAAAATGGATTTGTAAATATGTGTGTACTCCAACCATATATGTCTATGTCACGATATAATTCGCAAAAAAAAAAAAAAAAACTTAGCCTGGTTCGATCAACAGATAAGATTACTCGGGAATTATCGATTGATGTCTTTAAAAAAAGCGAACACACAAAAATTCTCCCTTTCGTATCTTATCGCAATTGTTGTCGTGGGTTTAGATAAAAACGATCTGACTTGTCAATCCTTTCAATTCTCTTTCTCTCGTTTATCATTTATTTATCAGTCTATGTTTAACCAACTTCACGAAAGGATATTAACAGTACACTCTACTTATTATGGTTAGTCTTTTTTTTATTATCATTTTGCCTATTAGATTTTGTTTCCTATCCTAATCCTAATCTATCTATCATCACAAATATTTTCTACTTTTCTCTTTAAATATTTGATAGTTTTATTTTGTATTTACAAAAAAAAAAAAAATGATTTCATTTAATAGATGCAATAAACTCTACGAGATAAACCATTAATCTCAATCTCAATTCCAAACCTAATCTACTAAAAGATATTTATATTTATGGTTTCTTTTTTTCTTTTTTTTTTTTTTTTACCAATCTTTCTGGTCTGTTAAAAACATTTCTATCTATCCATCCATCCACCATCCATCCATTTATTCATTTATCTTTGTCTTTCTCATTTGCTAAGACGTAGCAAGTTATCCATTTATCTTAGTATTTTTCTCGACTATTTCTATTCACGATGTATAGTTAATCTTTTAAAGGAGATCTTTCAAAAAGTAGTAGTCACTTTCTTTCGAACGTAAGTAAGCGACTCGTTTCGCGTGAAATCATTTGTTGTGTTCCTCAACCGGAAAGAAAAGATATCTAACGATCAGGACATCTCTTTCTTTCATTATCTTTCGTTACGGTCGACTTAGTTTTTTTAATTGAACCCTTTTTTTCGTTCCGTTCGAATGTGACATTAACAGATCTTTTCTCAGATTTTGTCTCTAAGGTATTTAATTATTAAATACATATTGAATAATGCAATGGTTACATCAACTATCTGAGTGAGTCATTACTCTTCACGTGTCACGTTGTTTGTCCGCAATGGACTCCTAAACTATTGAACCGATTTTAATCAAATTTTGCACACTCGGTGCAGTTTCATCCAAATTGAAAGATACGATAATTTATATTTCAATTTATAATCAGATACGGTAACAGAGATGGTGGTATAAGGTAATTCGTTGAATTTAAAGACGTGTGTATCGGACTGATGATTGTGAGCCACCCCTAATTAAATATAAAATTAATAATCAACATAATATATATTGTTATTTGATCTCTTTGTTTAAAGCACATTAAATGACAATAGGACGGAAACACGAAAGCGTGCCAGATTGTTGTTTGACATCCTTCTAATGTCACGTGAAACTATCACAAATAAACTTTGAATTGCACAAATGTATAAAAGTGTGTGTGTCGTCGTCGTTGTTATAAATTCCGGAACGCTCCCTTTTTCAACCATGTGAAACGTCACCATGTTGAGTTAATAGAATGCCAAGCAAACGTTCCAAAGAAACAGGCTAATTTATATCTTATCCTTAAATCGTTATTTTGTACATTTATTTAGCGTGCCTTTAATTAATACACCTAACTCTAACTTCTCATTGTCTTCAATTTGCGTTGAAATTAATTTCGGAATTTTATCGTTTCATCAAAGACCATTCGTTTATTGATTTAGGAAAATGTGTAAAAATTAATTTTTTAGATCGATCATAGTTATTCCAAATTAGTGTAACAAAGTATGGTGATTTATGGTGTTTTCTAACGGTGAAATCACAGCTCAGGGTCCTTTCTCTTTGTTTGCACATGACCGTGCCGCGTTAGACGTGTGAGACATTATATTGTTAGGCTTCTGATGTCGGCTTGCAAAGAGAAAGAGAGAGAGAGAGAGAGACAACAAGGAGAACTAAAAAGATCTATCTAACAATAAGAAGAGAAACGGTGCTAGATCATCGATCTTTCCTCTTCTAAAACGATCTCATCTATCTATCTATCTTCTACACCTAACGTGTTTCCTCTTTATCTTTTATAAATATAAATAATTACAGTTTTTTTTTTTTATTGCTAATTAAACAAACGTGTTACATTGATAAAAATTCCTAGATAAAACGTTGACAAGTTGATTAAAAAAAAAAAAAAAAAAATGAAGTAAAAGTCATCTTACCGGATAACTTATAATCGATCACTTGCACTTTTCATTTATTAAAAGAACAAAAAATAATATCAACTATCCGTTATCAGTACTGGAAATTCTAACTTGAAATTATTTATATCAAATTTACTTTCTCTTTTCTTACCGGAAAATATGATGTCGTAATTTCCGTTTAATACCTACGTACATCCGGTTAGAATGTTAGAATGTACTGTTACCAATATGATCGGCATAAGATCAATAAAATGTGACTTTTTTTTCTTGCTAAATCTAAACGCTTACGTACGTCTCTTTTGTTTCTAATATAAATTATTATAAAAAAAAAAAAAAAAGAATGGTGTCTATAGGTCGTGGGCGATCGAACGTGGGTAGATCATTGCCCTAAATCTTTGTAAGGCGCGATGATGATCTATAGATCTTTTGATCCTTTCGTCATAAGCTTCGTTGTCTCTTCTTCTTCTTTTTCTGAGGATTTAGGTTGAGATTATTAAAACATGACAAAAAAAAAAAAAGAAAAAAACAATTCAATTGAATATTAAAATGATCGAGATGAGATCTTTAGATTTATTTGTTAAAGAATCAGTCAGACTCATGTACAAAGTAAACGAGGACGCAATGTGAAATCCTGAGAAAATAATCAAATTGTTCTTTTGTATGTGTTCTTAACTTAAAAATAGAATTACAAATAATTACGAAAAATTCGCACGAATATTTAAGAAGAATAATTCAATCAAAATTAAACGACCATTTGCATTAATTTATCTATAGATGAATCAGCTGATCCAAATGAATGATCAATAATAGGTCATATAGGTGTTATCAAAATGGTGGTGTCACACCGAGAAAGTAGCATATCCTCGAACATACGAGCAATAATCGAACAATTGAATTTAAATCCAATCGAGAGAAGAAGATTGATAGATCGTACGAAAGAAGAAACGGTTAGACGTCAAAATTATCAAGGGATACAAACGAGTGTCCCAAAGATCACAATAGGTGTTTATGGTTGTAAAGAAAGGATCGATTATGAATTACCAGGTGCGATAAGATCTGCTTGTAAGATCGAGCCTCTAAATCGATCGAGATCTAAATTGGTGGATGGGAGACAGAGAATAATCCCATTGGTTCCTCAACGAAGTCATTGCAAAAAGAGAGAGGTAAAATTTCATAGAAAGAATTAAAAAACGAAATAATATGTCATATCTATCAATTATTTATACTTCGATACTAACGATAATTTATTATAACGAACCTTATACAAATGATATCATTTAATTACTATTAAAAGTTATTTATCGAAGTTAAATCGTAAAGTGAAATACAAACTAGAATGACAAGAAGCTCTCTCACGAGAGAGGAAACCTCTTTCTTATTTTTCTTTTAGAAGGTGTACCGTAGCGTAGGCACACCACCTGCAACCGGTTTCGAACGATCGCGGTTAAGTGACTTGACGGCAACCGTTATACCGTTATAACACATGCATACATAGATGCAACATACATTCGAGAGTTTACGTGAACTAACATGATTGTTCTTTCAAAATTAGTATTATTTGATCGCGACGCGATGTTTATGCGTTAATAAATTATTTCAAGTCATTATTTAATTTATGAACTTGATTGAATAGTTCGACGATGATGATGATGACACGTTTATATTTACGAAATTCTTCTTCTTCATTTTTTTTTCCTTTTTTATATTTTTTCTAAATGTTACTTTTATTTTTTCCCCCTGTTTCAGGTCACCAAACCAGCGAAAGAAAATGTCGAAAGGACAGTTTCTACGGTGAAAGAGGATTTACGTAAGTATATTGAATATTCATTAATCTACTCTATTAATAATTTATCACTAATTGTATATAAACTTTAATATAATGAACACTTTTCTATGATTCATATTATGTGTATTCTATTAATTATATAAACTGTTTATAAATATACATTATAATACTTTCTTTTTTTTTTTTTTTTATTAAATTGACAGCACAATTCGAGAGTGCCAGCTTAAATCATACAGCAGCTCTCCATAGAATTTCGGTTAGACCTAAAAATCGTCGGCCTCCTAGACGTGCGCCATCGACAACCAATAATACATCAGCTTTAACGATAACAACCATAGTCGAGGATACTATGGACGATGTTGATCAGCCTAAATCTCCTACCAATATTGTCTCATCCTCGCCAACAGAATCCAAAAAGAGTATAACATCGGTCACGCGAAAATCTTCGGCTAGAACATCGCGAAGTTCGGATATCTTTGAAGGCCTAGAATCCCCACAAACCCAACAACAGCAACAACAGACACCGCAACCACAACCACAACCCAGACTACCTAGAAAACCTTCGAGCACTGCATCCTTGTCACCTGACAGTCTGGATGCACTTAATAATGCTTCAAGGACAAGCCTTGAAAATAACGACGAACAAGTTGAGATCAGATCGGTCGCAAGGAGACCATCCAATCGAATATCCAAAGGATCAGATGTTTTCGAAGAATTAGAATCTAAGTTACCACGTAGGAGATCATCCTCGAGTAGATTATCAAAATCACCAGACAGTTTGGAAACTACCTCCTGTTGGTTCTCAAAGTCAACAGAAGGCTTTGAGAATTTAATAGAATACGAAGAAAGCAAACCGGTAGCTAAAAGACTGCTCAATCCAATCTCTAAATCAAGCGATCGTATATCAAAGTCATCGGACAGTTTAGAAGCCATCGAAGCTTTAACAAGCGACGATTCGATAGAACGTAGAAGAAGTAGTTTTGAATTTCGTGCACGAAGATCTTCCAAATCCATTTCGAAATCATCCGAAAGTTTTGAAGTACTCGATCAGAGTTCACACGGTTCGGATATCGTTCAAGAATTACAAAAGCGAAGTAGTATTTCTGATATGAATCTTTCCAGAGGTAGAAGACTTTCTAAAAGTACATCCAAGTCTTCGGAAAGTTTTGAAAGGATTGACATAAGCGATGCGAAAAATGTTGAACTTGACGAGAAAGAGGAAGAAAAGGAAAAAGAAGAAATTGAACAAGAAGAGGAAGAGGAAGAGAAGATCACGAGAAGGAGATCGAGCAAAAGAATGTCCTCTGAAAGTTCGGATAATCTTGACGTTGAGGATAGATTAGAAAATAGAAGAGTTAGGCGAATACCAAAAAGAGTATCTAGTACAAGCATCGTTGATATTATTCCAATGGATGATAACGAAGAAGAGAGAAGGTCTATCAGAAAATCCAGACTACAAAAATCATCGGAGAGTTCTGAATTAGGAAGCACCGATACATTAGACTCGGAAAGAAGAAATAAATCGTCCGAGAGTACCGAAACTTTGGATAGTTTGGAGAAAGATGTCGAACAAGATAGAAAGGAAGAAGAGATAACTGATAATGTTTTAGATAGACGTGATAAAAATGTAAGTTAACAAAATCTAATATATTATTGATCTCGCACAAATTAACATTTGTCTAACGACTATCCATTATTCGTCTTTTTTTTTTTAGGATTCTTGGTCTAGCCGAAGTATGACAACAACAGATTCAGATCAAACATCAATGGCGGATGGTACAGAGGATTCCAAATCATTGATATCGCCAGATAAATTCTATTGGCGTCAGTCATCCGAATCCAAGGAGAATCTAGATATTCATCAACTATTAGCTATTACTATAGTTACTCGCATGGCCGATAATGGTAACAATCAACGTAGTCCAGTTATTTATCCAAAGAAGAAACAATCTTCCCCTCCGACTTCGCCCGTCGCCAAACAGGAAGATAACAAAATGATTTTTGATAATCTTTTGACGAACAAGAATGACGAGGATCTTCAAAATATGTTGAATGGAAATATATCGGAAGTTTCAACCGATACTAAAAGTTTCAAAGAGAAACTTATAATGTTTGAGAAACTTGGAAAGTGAACTCTCTGTCTTCATTTCTTTTTTATGCTTTTTTTTTTTTTTATTCCAAGTAAATAACATATTTTCACGCTTCGAGTAAAATTATCGGATTAATTCGTTCATTAGATTTGTCGATTTCTTTTTTGAGGGAGAGAGAGAGAGAATATTTTCTTCAATTTGATTTTTTTTTTTCTTTTTATATAAATATATATATAAAAATATAAACAAATAATAACAACAACGACGTTCTAGCCTGGATAAAATATTATTAATCATGCATTTTCTATATGGGCCGATAATCGATTCCCCCCATATCTTTTTGATAAATATATATATAATTTTTTTTTTTTTTTATATATACAATGAATCTTTTTTTTCGATTCGGTAAAATATATATTTACATATATATATATTATATACGTACACATATACATAAACACACATGAATTATAAAATACACTATTCGCTTTCTTAGAAAGAAGGCGTTAAAGTGTAAAGAAGAAGAAGAAGAAGAAGAAGTTAATTCTCTGTTTGATGATTTGTAAATAATAATTAGACGAATTTATGTCCTCTAAGAAATGACGTAATATATTTTATTCGTGTATAGAAAAAAGAATGTGAAGAAAAGATGAACAAATGAGAAAGATATAATATTGTTAAAAGAAAGGGAGAGAGAGAGAAGGAGAAAACTATATATATAAAAAAAAAAAAAGAAAAAAAGAAACAAAATGTTCTTCAAAAATTCTTTTATCAATGAACTTTTATTAATTCAAAGTTCATCCTCTCTGATTACCACCACCACCACCATCACCACCACCACTACTACTACCACTACCACCGATGACGAACCTCTTTGAAAAGAAAAATTTCACTTGGTTACAGTATTAATCACGGTGCCTGTATTCCAATGAACAACAACAAAAAATATATATATATAATTGCATCGTGCTTTTTTTTGAAGATTCGTAGAAGATTTAGTTTATTAATGTATGCGTCGTTGTACAGTAGTATAGCATATATATATATTTTTTTTTCTTATAAACGATTCTCTTCTCAATAGAATTGTGCATATGAGAATATATAATAAAATATCATATATTTTATTTCGTGTCGTGTAAATAAAAAAAGGAAAAGAAAAAAATAGAGAACAAAAACAAAAAATAATTATGAGGATAAAACGTATTACAATGAATGTACTAACTATTATCAATTGTGAAACATAAATGGCATAAGTTAATAGTAATCATCGTTAATAATCATCCTCGTTGTCGTTGTCGTCGTCGTCGTCGTCATCATCGTTGTCGTCGTAATCGTCGTCAGGTATATGATACACACATTCCACCATACGAGGTTTTGAAAATCTTTTTTTTGGAAAATGGTAAGGAATGAAAAAAAAAGAAAAAAAAAGAAAGTGCATATCATCTTAAAACATATTTAATAATTGTTTTCTCGTTGTTAGAATTTGTCGAGTGCCTTAAACTAATTAGTTAGAAACTTTTAAATCAAGATGTTTCAATATAGATAATATGTGTATGTTTTAATAGTCGAAAAACTTTGCAAAGAAATACATGAAGGAAGAGACGATAAAAAGGATTTAAAATCACGAGATGATTGATTAAAAGTAAAGAGGATGTAAATAAAGTTTGCCATTATGAATATAGTTTGACAACAAAGTTTTTCTTTTCTCTTTATTGAACCTGCTTACTGATGCACCATAGGGATGCACACTTAAAAAATTACAAAATACTTCGCTTGTATATACTCTTCGATCTCGTCAGAAAATTTCTACGTATGCACGATGGAAAATGCAATTTGGTACATAAAAATCAACAATTAAAAAAGAGAAAAATTATTGGAAAGATATATTGAAATATTAAAGTTTAATATCAATTTTTTTTCCGCGAGTTGAAAATATTTAAAAAAAAAAAAAACATCCTTTAGTAGTAAAATTCTATAAACAATATGATTATCATATATCTTATTTTATTATACCGGTCGCTTCGTAGAAATCTTTAAACGTATAAAAGAGGAATGTAACATTTGTATAATATTGGCAATGATCATATGTATAACAACAGTTTCTTTTTTGCTTGTTTAGTGATATAGAATATCTTTTAGCACAACAATTCACGCTTTACGAATAAGTTGAATCTGTCGTATATATAATATATGCTCCATTATATATATATACAATCGCATGTAAATCTTAAATGTTGCAAATTGATAAAAGTCCCGTTTTTTTTATATCATTTATATCATTATTATCATTAATGTTATTAATATTATTAATATTATTATTATTATTATTATTATTATTTGATGCCAAACCAACACTGTGGAAAAATCACCGATACAAGGACGAATAATTGCAAGAAACATGCCTCAATCATACTTGTTATTCAACTTAGAGTTTTGACGAATGCATCAACAAAATTCTTCTCACTGAGAAGTCTTGATATTAATTGTTATGCATCTCTCCCTGACAGTAAAGGATATATATGTTATGCTTATCACCATTTCATTAAGACTTATAATATAAATTAACTAAAGAAACAACGACGGCTGGAAAATGCCAGTGTACATCGTTACTATAATAATAGGAATTAAATATTTCTAAAATTCTAATCCATTGTTCTGTATAACATGTTCTTCTTTAATTGATTTAACTTGTTTGCTTTTTGTGTAGAGTTTAATGCTTGCAAATACTATATTAAAGAAGAAACAAAAAGTGGATATTAAAAAATAACGTATAATATAACTCTTCTCGCAATCATGTCCTTCATTTTCAAGACTCACAAATTATGTGCTTCGAATATACTGGGTATGTGCACCATTGAACACACTTTCAGAAACAAAAACAAAAAAATACCAAAAGATAAAAGAATTTACAATTCATCATGTGTATCTTGTTTTTCTGTACTTGGATTGCAAAGAGCGGGCGTGACAAATTCCATTGCGTATTCGCAACGGCTTGGTTCTGTTACAGAAATGAGTTTATTTTCTTTGCCACAACTTAAATTAACGATGGTTGAACGAGCTGGACCATTCCAGCATGTAAGACCCTTGTCATATTTTATTTTGGAATATTTGTTACCTTGTCCTATCCATTCGCTCCAATATCCTAAACTAACATCACTTCCACCAGATTTTGATCTTTGCGATGCTTTACCAAATAGACAAAGGGAATATGTGTATTCTAAGTCGGAATAATCAAAACACTCTCCATCTAACGTTACGAATTCATCCTCCTTTCCATAATCACGTTCCAATTTTTCCTCCAATCGTTTGATTTCAGAATGGAGATCATTAACTGTTTTCTCAGCTACTTGGAATCGTTCGCGTGCACTTGTTGCCTCGTCTATGAATACTTGAGTCTCTTCATCATACTGTACTTCAGGTTCTTGCTCATCAGGTTCTTGTTCTTCAACTTCTTTTTCATGCTCATCCCCTAAATCTTCTTCCTCTTCTATAGTATCGTGTTCCTCCTCTTTGACATGTCCTTCTTCCAATTTTTCTTGAACTTCTTCTTCCCCTTCTTCTTCTTCTTCTTTTTCTTCTATTTTGTGTTCTGGATGTTTAAATATGCCTGCATATAAAAGTATAAATATTAATAAAAGAAAATATATCGTTATAGTGAATAATAGAATATATATATATAAATATAAAAAGATGACTAACCTTGTTCAAGCATGACAAATGGTTTGATATTACCCCAAGCTGATTCTATAAATTCTTGCAACGATACTTCTTTCTGATTATTCAAAAAGAACATAGCTTCCTCTTGGGATACAGCTCCATCACGATCTTTATCAAAGGTAGCTCTAGTTTGTAACTCTGCTATGGTAACTGTATTGCTACCATCAGAGTCTAATATCTTAAAGTAATCTTCAGCTTCAGATTGTCTTAATTCTTCTTCCTCCGTTGTTTCTTTGGATGCAACTTGTTCGGGCTTGTCCACTTTGTATTTCATCAAAGCTATGCTTTCTCTTTCCTCAGCTTGAGTTTTCAAAATTTCTTTTTCTTTTTTAACTTTTATAGCTTCTTCATAATCGACCCATAATTTCATGACATGAGCATGAGTATCACTCTTGATCTGTTTACCTTTGGCAACCATTTCCAAACGTATCTTGTTACCTTCCCTTTGTAATTCTTCAGCTTTTTGTGCTTCTAATCTAGCTTCTCTACCAAGATCATGACAATTGTTAACACATTGTTTAGTAGAAGTATACTCATCGCTACCATCACAACAATCACAAATGTTGTCATTCACCCGGGTAGATGGTATGTAAATAGGCTTGTGACCAAAATTTTTACAATAAAAAGAACCATTTTGGCAAGCCGAGGTTCCAGGTTCATCGCTACCGTCCCCGCAATCGCAATAATCGTCATTGACATAATGAAATGGTATCAATAAGCTACCATCGAGACATTCAAAATCACGATCGGGTGCATAAAGTGTATTTTTTGAAACCGGTATACCTCGAATGTATGAGACCTGTGAGCCGGTTACGTGGCCGAATGTATCAAAAAAATTCATACATACCAAGAACAATAACCATAAAGAATATTCTTTCATCCTCTTCAACATACTTTTTACCTGTTGCTCTTAAAGAACTTTCTTCTTCTCTCTTTCTCTCTCACACACTCTCTCAAACAATTTTCTTATTTTTAAGTAAAGCCCGAAGTGTATGTCTCTTTCAAGTGTAACCAATATCACGCACACTACGTGTTAGAATAGGGCTACCTTAATACATACATATACATACACACACATTTATAACTTCATATATTTCTCCAATCACACACTATAATACGTGGATTATAGGTATCACAAAAGCAAATATAGATAAGAAGGGAAACCCGAATCAAGATGGACGACGAGCGTACCGAGCGCCATGTTTTTTATCAAGATGGACACTGGACATACTTAGCGCCACCTTCGTTATCAAGATGGACGTCATGCGTACCGAGCGCTATCTTTTCTTTAAGTTCTTACAAAAATACTCTTATCAATATTCAGTAAACGTATAATATATTACGTTCTTTTATCTAATTCATTATATATTGTCAAAGTATTCTTACTTTGATAAGCTACTGTAAGCTTTTAATATGAATGAAGCGAACGTAAAATAAATTTGATAAGCTTAAATAAATTGTTACGTCCCGTATAGTAAGTCTCGTAATAAGTACCACGTGATCCCGGTTTAAAATTACAGAACGATTACCGCGCGCAACAGACAGACGATATTTAATTTCCGTTGGTTCTTCCTAACCCCCCTTCTGCGTCATGTATTTTAACAGAGTTTCGTTCAGTAGGCTACGTCGCCGCGTACAATACAAACGACGAGTGTGTTGTTGATATATTATTAGTTCGATTGATTCCCATCCTTCTTTTACTTTCTTTTATATCCGTCCATCTTTTTTTTTTCTTTTTCTTTCTTTTACCCGGTATATTTTCACAGTTAAATTATTCGCTGGAAAAATATGATAAATTGTCGACAAATTTTGGTTAAGGGACGTCCAACCGTGAGCTACGTAATAAGAGGAATTCATCACGGTTCGCTGCACTAATTCAATTGTACGTGACAGAGGGAAAGAGACAAAGTAAGCTTTTAATTGAAAACTTAAATGCATTTTTTTCTTACCTATGTTACATATACATTTACGCTTGCACACTTCTACATGCACCATCCGCTGTCAAATACTTACAGGAAATATGTATATATATATATATATATTTACAACGATGCATTTATGTTTTCCTTTTTCATAACTAATTTTAATAATAAGTTACGCCTACGCAACACATGTATACATACCTCGAGTATGAATGTGGACGTGTATTTATGACTGGCTTTTTATTAACGCTCTGCGATGACCAAAACCTTGTCCTATTTTTGTAAACACACACACGTATATATATATATATATATATATATATTTTGTATGTATGCAAGCATGTGTCATCTACATATGCAAATATGTTTGTAATCACCTGTACTAATGATATATCTAATGTCATGTCATTTTGACAAAGCTTACATTATCTATATCAATTTATTTAAACATTTTATCTTAACTACACTTTTAATGAACTAAGTTTACTAACTGCACAGCTCTATTTATAAAAAACTAAACTCGCTTTTCACAGTTTTATTTTTAAGAAAAATAAACCGCTTCCATGTTGTACAATTATGACAGATTGAGATCTAGATTGTTACGTAATAAATGAAATGTTTAAAATGCAGAATTGTAGGGGAATAAAGGTGTTATGAGCGGTGCGTTATCCATGTATGATGGCTTGGAGAAAGAAACAACGTCGAATAATGCATTGGAAAGTAGTAGTGGTACTACGAAAAAGTTGGCCAGAGGAATTTCTAGAGCGACAGAAAATGCTGCCATAGTTTCATATGCACGTTCTCAATTTGCAACTTTGGGATCTTTGGACATGCCCGAGTTTACATTTTCTTTGCCAGATTTGTCCGTGTATCCAGGTACTATGCCAATCTGAACATGAATTTTAGATGAACATTATAGTCATATTTTACAATGAATTTTCTTGATAGATTCGTTTCGTCAATTTTTGGAGAAAGATTTGATAGAAGGAGGATGTCTGTCTTCATTGGAAGCAGCAGGACGATTGAATTGGTGGTGTGGTGGCAAAAATGGAAGTAACAGAGTTCTCTGGCCATTAGCAACTTCGGGAGATGGCAATTGTTTGCTTCATGCAGCTTCTCTTGGTATGTGGGGTTTTCATGATAGATTACTTACGCTGAGAGAAGTTTTGCATAATACGTTGAACGTGGGAGAATATCGACATGCACTTTTTAGGTATGTAACAAATATAGATTTATGTTTGTATATGTATATAGAAACTTGATGAGTAATCAAGATTTATATCTTATACAGAAGATGGAAATGGCGTCAGGTGGGTTTAAATGCTGCCGCAGGTTTGTCTTACACGGAAGCTGAATGGGTATCCGAATGGCAAACTATTGTAGATATGGCTTCGCCAATACTTAGGAATCAAACAGCCACTTCTTATCAAAGTCTAGAAGAAGTAAGAATATTTATATTTATATTATTTATATGACTCTTTCTATTGAGTGTTCTTTCTATTTGATTCAGGTACATGTACTGGCGTTGGCTCATGTTTTAAGACGTCCTATAATAGTAATAGCAGAAACAATGTTAAAAGATGCCGAGGGAGTAGCTTTGGCACCTATACCATTTGGAGGAGTATATCTTCCATTAGAAATACCACCATCGAATTGTCATAGAACTCCATTATTATTGGCATATCATTCTGCACACTTTTCACCGCTCGTTACGGTTCATGGACACAATGATATCGGGGACGACAGTAATGAAGGAGTTAGTATACCTCTGGTTGATCCTGATAGTGGTCAAATATTGCCAGTATTATTCGCTGTAGATCCTGGTCCTGATTGGGATTGGATTGAAGGATCGCGTGATTTATTGGCTTGCGAGCAAAGCACGGTAATAATACATAACTGAAATATATATGTTGTTTTTTGTTTTTTGTTTTTTGTTTTTTACATAGGTTACACACTTTTGTTTTTATATCTAGATGGAGATATTAATAAGGGATTATTTGGACTACGAGTACGTTAATTTTACATCAGAAGAAATCGACAGGTTATCCGATACAGATGGTTCCCTGTCCAAGACAGCTAAACAATTATTAGGTGTTGCGAAACAATTTGGATCGATTGGAAGATCAATGAGTAAGAAATTTTGGTCCATGACCAAAAGACCGAAAAGTCCTCCATCCTCTTCTGGCGGTAATTCTACCGAAGGATTATTCTGTATTAAAATGAAAAGTAGACGCCATCAGTACGTCGATCAGATGTTACAAAACTACCTCGAATGTGCCCATGCTAGGTAAATTCTTAATATTATCTAATTCTTTTCTCATCGTCTTTTTTTCGACATTCAATTATACAATTTTCATTCGTCTAGATATCTTCAAGATCATCAAATAGACGATACAGGCTGTGAAATGAATTATGGAGCTGGCAAATCCAAATTCTATGCTGTGAGTGATTATGGTAGTCATGCAAGTGTCAGCAAATTATTACCAGCTCATCCAAATAAAGATCGTACGCTTTATCTTTCAAGGTACATTAATAACAATCAAATCGTATTGTGAATGAGTAGTAAAACATTAAATAGATTTGTTTCGTTGATGAGAATAGTAGTGTATCGATTATCTATCTTTCTCGTAGATCAACATTCTATAACGATCATACATCGCCTGAAAAAAAGGCTGATCGACGGTCATGGAATAGTAATTTGCGGGTATGTCTTTGTAAAATAGAGCGTACATATATATATATATATGTATAGTTAATATTTATTTCAATATTTTTCTATACATGTACAAAAAAGATAAAAGAAAATCATGAACGTATCTATAAAAATTGTTTTTTATTTTTTATTTTTTTAGGCGTGCGTAAAGGAGTGTCGCAGTGAACACTGCCAATTTTTTGGCTCACCGGAAAATGAATATTATTGTTCGCAATGTTGGGCTAATCGTCGTTATCGTTAAACATTTATTTTTCTTTTGTTTTTTTTTTTTTTTTTTTATCTAACAAAGCATGACAATAATCACGATAAAACCACCGAGTGCTGATTAATTTCTTCGTTAATATGGATTCATATAAATCCATATATCAACTAAAAAAATATTTATCTTCCTTCATTTTCATTCATCTATATAATACTTTCTCTTTTTCTCTCTGTCTGTCTTTCTCTCTCTCTCTCTCTCTCTTTTTATTTATTAACATTCTCATTAATTCATTAAATTAAAGATGCATATCAAATATGTATTAAAAAGATAATCACAGCCGATTCGATGTTCGTTATCGATCAGAGACGCCTTTATTACTACGTGTAGCCAAAACCAAAAAAAAAAAAAAAGAAGAAAAGATAAAAGACGAAATGTTTCAAGAGATTATATTTTTTAAATACTGCTGAATAATAATAACATCACATTACATGTATATATGTACATGTGCCTTTTTGTGTCGTTCATAATATTAATATGAAAAATGTTATATTTCAAGAGACTAATTAACTAACAATACTCAAAGTGAATCAGTACAATGGATCTTATATACATATAATTAATATTGCAACGACCACATACTAACAATTTCGTTTACAACGCTCTGTACTTATTAATCGTGCTTTTAATAATTATCTATAATAATAATAATAATAATGATAATTACATACAAAATAATTATACTTATATAATAGTAAACGATTGATTTTTCGTTCATCGCGAATAAATAAATTGTAATCATCGATCGGTGATCGATGTTTGAAATCGTAAAATTGTGTGTAAAATAAAGAAATATTTTTGTACACATCGTGTAATGTTATCGAAAAAAACAAACTTGTGTGTCAGGATAAGATAAAAATAATCGGTAAAATAAAGTAATCGTTATTACCGTTAGATGGCAATCAATTTTTTATCGGTCGGTAACAATGAAGTAAGAGCTAGTACTGCCGGTTGCCAGCACATGTTTTACCAGTCGGTAAGGTGAAGTAATAGCAAGTATCGCTAGATGACGGTACATATTTTACAGTCGGTAATAAAAATACAGATTTTCCAATATATTTTTGTTTTTTTAGATATGAATAAAAAACAAAAAAATAAAAAGTACATTTATATATACATGTAATATAAATCTTAATTTATAATTGTTTATTAAAAAATTAACAATTAATATCTTAATATTTACAGTATATTCTATGGATAGCATAAAAGTATCAAAAAATTAATTCAATATTTTCTATTATTTATTTCTTGTTTCAATTAAATCAATTCACATCCAATTTATTATCAATTAATTCTATTTCTATTTGTCTCTCTGATAAAAGACAATTGTAATTCTCTCTCTTTTACACACAAAGATACACACACACACACACACATGCGAATGTTATTAGTCACGAACTGAGCGTAATTTGCGGCTTGTAATACCGTTCTCGTCGTTTGTAACCTCGTTTAAGACACGTAAGTACGATAAAAGGGAGAAAAGGGGTGGTAATAGAAGGATGGGTGTTGGGGTGGATGTTGTGAAGCTGTAAGGATAAGGGTGGAAGGATAGTAACCGCATTTCCACATTTAGGGGATGTTTTCCAAGCTTCTATTGATATCAACACACGTATCTAAGTGACAAAATAAGATCGAACAGTTCTCTTTAAAAATAAAAAAACAAAAAAACCAAAGAGAAAAGATAATAAAAATTCGTTTGGATAAACTGCATCGAGTTTGAGGTATTAGACGGGTTAAGGGTTGCTTCGAAAAAAAGAGGGATGCATTCATTTTGCACGGGTCATAAGGTTCCCCGGGATGCTAGGTGAGAAGGGGTTCTGTGAGGGCTTGAAGTTACTGTACTTTGGGGACTTGTGAGAATATTCTGACGAATTCTTCGAAACATTTTCCTTCCTTTAGCATGGATTTGAAATTTTGATGAAACCCAAAGAAATTCGAGGGTTGTCTTGGGAGTAATATCAAAAATTGCTATCAGACTTTTTCAATCTTTCTTATTTTTATTTTTCTTCAAATTATTTCGATAGAATAATCATCAGATCATTTTAAATAGTATGATTAGGATTATAGAATGAACAATTATATCTACATTTTTCTTAGCAATTTCTTTTAGAAATTTGTCCAAGTAATTTATATATATATATATATGTATATCTATTTATCTTCCTCCCGCTTTTATCTATTCTTCTGCTAATTTTTTTTTGGTTCCTTTTTTTTTTTTACGTCAACTTCGTTACTGGAGAAAAGTAAATTCCGAGGAAAAAGAGGGTCGTACTCTGTTATAAGGGTGAAGAGATAGTAACACAGGGGTAAAATGGGAGCAACGTTGGGGAAGCAAACAGGCAGACACTGAGGTGCCAGCTAAACAAAGATAAAGGTACCAAAGGGCAAGAAAGAATTGCTAAAAAGAGAAAGTTTTTTCTATTTCTTTTTCCCTCGATAAACTTCTTACACGCATACATGCTAGAGTTTGTTGGTGCATCGGTTAGAAAAATAGTTTACATGGAATATATTCAATTAGTAGATTTTTTTTTAAGCAGGAAATTGATAATTTACAAATATGTGCAACGTTTAGTTAATCAAAAACGATGTTCTTCATAAACAAATTGGGATTTTTCTTGTCCATGTTCCTCTCTTTTCGTGAAACCATTTAAAAAGAAGAAGAAGAAGAAGAAGAAGAAGACAGAGAAAGAAACTATTTAAAGTAGCTTAATGGGGTATGAAAAGAAAATGAAAATTGATACGAACAACTCTTGGAAGTTTTCTCACCTTTCCCTTGATTCCCAACCATTTCCGATATTGCCTAGACAGTAACAGTAAAAAATTGCACGATTTTCAGGAAGACCCTGTCCCTCTCACCTTTTCCGTCTTTTTTTTTACACCGGTCGATTCCCTCTGCCGAGAGAACTGGTAGATACCGAGTTTAGGAAGGACAGAGAGAAGAGAAACGAGGGTTGAATGGCCGTTCGCTAAATTATCGGGTAGAAAGAGGGAAATCGGCTGCAATCCGTGCGCGGCCAACCGCAAATACCGAATATCTATATATATATACATATACATATACATATACACATCCCCACACTCATACCTATACTCACACATGTCTACGTATACAGGATGGTCGAAAAATTTCTAGGCGATTATAAAAATATATTATTCTTCTTCCAGATTTATGTAGAATTATTTGTTCCATCAGATTGTAAAACTGAGAGTTAGTTTTTGAAAGATTGGCATTTTACTAAAAGTAGCTGAAAAAGTTTGTAAAAAAAAAAAAAAAAAGGAAAATCAGGTAGATACTTTTGGTCTACCTTGTGTATATACATATAACTTTATATTTGTTTCTCTCTCTCTCTCTCTCTCTCTCTCTTTTTCTGTTGACCTATTCATCTTCCTTTTCTCTCTATCCGTCGATTGCGCACGTTCACCCCTTCGGTATCCCCTTCGGTATCCCCTCTTTTTCTCGGCGATCTGCTCATCGGAAATCATTGCCACGCCGCCATTGTCAGCCGTCGAGGCACATTAGATTGGCTTCGACCCAATACTACCACCGATTTCCCAATTCTGCCCTGGTAGAATCGCATTATTCGGATTATTCGGTAGCCGTCGCACCGCGTCGCGTCGCCAAGATCGAATGAACCTTTTTGAAGGAAGCCCTTTCACCGAGATTTTCGCTAAAAGGCTCGTTAGACTTTCACCAGCACCTCCTATTCTTCGCTAGTCGATAAAGCCAGATAATTTCTCCATCACACATCCATTTTTATTTTATTTTTATTTTCACACCTATCAGAATGATTCAAAGATCGATGCTAGGATATCGATGTTGATAAAACGATAACAGAATCCTTGTGTAGGTGGATCATAAGGGATTCGTACACGAATGAAATTTTCATTTTTCATTAGCTAACATTTTTTACTTTTCTTCAGACGAAATTCTGCACACCATGTTAGGGGTTTCTTTTTTTATTTTTGCCTTTTTCTTTTTCTGCAGGTTTTTTTTGGAATAAGAGGTTAGAACGGTGGGCAAGGGAAAAAGGAGGGATATTAAATATCTTGAAGGATGAGAGAGAAGAAGAAATTCGTCGGTTGTCTGCAGAAACCTATTTGAATCTTTTAGCAGTGCCTAGAGGCTCTGAAAGCATTGACCAACTGCTATGCACAAAAAGTAGATAGTGATAATAAATATTCTACATCTGCAAATTACATTGAACAAATTCTGCGAGTCATTTTCACTGAAATGGAATAACACAGGGTAGATAATAGAACGAATAGAACAATACTGGTGTGTTATCATTGAACTATTGTATTTTTAATTTAACGCATGCACATTTGTAGATGTGTTAGAGGAAGAAAGGCTGTAGGACGTAGGGTTGATTTGCTTCCGGTAGAAAAGTAGAGGTACGGAGGGTTGTTACGTCATGTGTGAAATTACCATCACCCACCTTTAATACGCTCATCCCTAAACTATATGTTTGTGTTACAGAAGAGAACTTTTGTATTGTATTGTATAAAAAAAAAACGTGAGAAGATATTGCAGTGATTTTGAAAAATCTTTCTTACAACAAAAACGCTATAATTAAAAAATATAAAATGTAGGGGTATGCATATAAATGATTATATTTCGAAAAAGAGATGAAAGTAGAGAGAGAAAGGGGTAGGAAATAAATGGAGAGGGGATGATCGTACATTTCTGTCCAAGAACGGTCAGCACGAACGAGATTAATAAATATTAGAGAGGCGTGGGTAGCTCGAGGGAATGCACATGATTTAAAGAGGCGCATGTTGCTGAGCGTTTAATAAATAAGCTCTCCTGCTCGTCTCTCTCTCTCTCTCTCTCTCTTTCTCTCTCTCGTTCAGTACGCAAAATTATTCTCGGGGAGAATTGTACTACCCAAAAAAAGTTTCTCCCGTTTTGTTTGTCTTCCATTTTTTTTTCCCATTCTTTATTTCATATTAGATTTCAATACTTGTATACATAATTCAATGAACCCTTTTTGCACTTTGCGCTAGTTTTGTAATATTTAAACAAAAAAATAAGT